GTGGAGCACCTGGGGGGCAAGGGAGGCGGCAACGCCCACGATTGTCTGCTGCTTCAAGACCTAGCCTAGCCTTCAGGGGCAGCTCAATGCATTCCCAGTCTGAGCGATAACCACCCATGGCTCGCGCGGGATACTGCATTTCTTTGTGTGCGGCACAAGTCGTCTGTGCTCTGTGCGGGTCGTCTGTGCTTTGTTGCCTCGCAGGATTTTACCCTGTTGTAAGGTAAGGTGGTCAAGAGCAACGCGGATTCATGCAAGCACAAACTCTGCAAGCAAGGTTCCATGATCACATACCATCAGCAAAACAGCCTGGACTCCCAGCCTCAAAGTCGTGCGGGCAGAGGGGCAATAGCCTACGTTACCAACAGAAAATCAACTGGGAACCGCAATGAAACGTACAACCCGACATGGACGCAACAACAAACGTCGGTGCCGAACGAAGCAAGCCAATCCAACGAGCCAAGTGGTCAATGCTGCGCCCATTGAATCTGAGAGATGTCAATGCCCTCCTGAGGGGTGGGGATGGCATGGTTGCGTTGTGAGAGGTTGCCTGCATCACGCAAATGCGCCAAGTTGACGGTTGGGCGAGAGGGCAAGCGGCAGGAAGCTGAAATAGCAAGGCAAGGTAAAAACGGTGGGCAGCAGCTGCCTGAGGATTTGCAATTGGCCCCTGAGTCCCTGCCCACTCCAACACAGCGCTCAACCCCCGTACCTGAACCATCTCCCAGAGAGGGCTCATCTCCCGCAGCTTTCCAACGTGAGACACCGTCAGTTCCACTGCACGGTCCACCTCCTCTTCAGTGGTAAAGCGCCCCAGGCCGTAGCGTATCGAAGTGTGTGCCATGTCCTCCTGCACGCCCAGCGCGCGCAGCACGTAACTGGGCTCCAGCGACGCGCTAGTGCAGGCACTGCCACTGGACACCGCAATGTCCTGCAATGAGTTATGCAGCAGTTGAGCAAAATTGCGTGTTGAGTGAGGAGAATGGGCTTGTAAGTTTCAGTCAAGAGTGAGGCAATGATGACAGACACAAGGCGGCCTGCGCACAAAGCAGGGCAGGGCATGAATGGCCCCTGCCAAAAGGACGCCGCCTGACCAACTTATCCTTGATTGGCAGCTGGTGTTGGCTCCGTCATGTACAGCAAAGTACATGGCACAGTGCCATCTCCTAGTGTCGCGCAGAGCATTGTCCCTAAACAGCGTTTCCTGCCCCACACCTTGAGGCCCATGATGAGGCTTTCGCCCTCAACATACGCAAACGACAGGTTGACATTGCCGGGGTAGCGGTGTGCAAGATCGTCGGGACCGTTGAGCTGCACGCCCGCCAGCCGCCCCGTGATGCCCTCCCGCAGGCGGGCCTCCAGCCGTGTCACGTGGGCGTGGTCAGCCGCCATCTCGTGCGCCGCAATCTGGCACGCAGCACCCAGTCCCACCACCAGCGGCGCGGGCACTGTGCCGCTGCGCAGCCCGCGTTCCTGCCCGCCGCCACTCATCTGCGCCTCGAGCCGCACGCGGGGCCGGCGGCGCACATAGAGAGCCCCTACGCCTTTGGGACCATAGAGCTTGTGGCCACTGATGGACATGAGATCGATGTTGGCGTCGTTGACGTTCACCGGCACCTTGCCCACTGCCTGTGCCGCATCAGTGTGAAAGAACACCTTTTTCGCGCGGCACAGCTCGCCGATGTCAGCCAGTGGCTGGCGCACGCCGATCTCATTGTTGACCGCCATGACGCTGACCAGAGCCGTGTCGGGCCGAATTGCTGCCTCCAGCTCTGACATGGACAACAGTCCGTCACGCTGTACCGGTAAGTAAGTCACTTCCCAGCCACGCTGCTGCAGGTGCCTAGGTCCAGGAGGGAGTAAGGTGGGTGGGGTAGAAGATGCGCGGCAGGGGGGTTTAAGAGAGTTCCTTTTGGAAAAGCAAAAGACGGGAGCCAGGTAGGCACAGCAAGCATGCCAAGGGCGCAGCAAGCATGCGAGCCGGTGTGCATGCAACCCTTGCTGAGCGGTATGCAAGCTGACCCCATCGTTGTCTTTTAAGCGTGTATGCAAAGGCCGCACGTGTGCGACACCCCTGCAGCCGCACCTGCACGAGTCAAGGATGCACTTGTGCTCAGTCTGTGTGGTGATTATGTGGCGCTTCTTTTCCTTGTAAAACCCCGCGACCCCTTTCACTGCCATGTTGTTTGACTCCGTTGCGCCACTTGTAAACACAATCTCCTTGGGGTCGGCGCCAATCAGGGACGCCACCTGACGCGTGTCCAGAGAAAAGTTGTCGGACAAGGGTAGGGTTGGAACCTTGGAAGCGCAGCTGCAAGGGGGTGACACAACAGGAACCCAGGTGCTGGTACAGCGTGGACTGGCGTCATCACCAAGCAATGCAGCACGCCACAGGCTCCCACAAAGCCGCCGGAACAATGCTATATTGGAAGCACCAAGAGCCATTCAACAAACGAAGTGACATGAGACCACCTCAACCGCATGTTGATTGCATCCTGGCGCACCTGTCCGCGCGCCTTCTCGACTGCATCCTCGCTCTCCCACCCGTACATGTGCGTGCGCGAATGCGGGTTGCCAAACTGCATAGGGCAGGAAATATGTTGCTGTAGTCAGATGACCGGTGAGCCAAGCACATGAAATTCACAAAGCTTGATAGCGAGGGGTACTCATTCCTTTCCAGATGCGCAGGTCTTGATGAGGCCCCACCTGGTCGACCATGTAGGGCAGCATGGCGTCCAACACACGCGGGTCCAGGGGCGTAGTGGCCTGCATGTCCAGGTACATGGGCGCTCCGCGCAGCTTGATGCCCTTCATCTCAATACCTGACGTTGCCATGGCACCGTGGGCAAGGCGGCGTGCGCGACCAGCACAGTGGAGCAGCACAAGCGCGCTTATGCTGCATGGAGGCAATGCCTGCTCAATCCCTGGCCCAGGCAGCGCTGTTGGTTGGGCCTAGGTAGGATCAGAGTTTTTTTGCGCGACAATACCGCTCCCAAGCGAGGCCCTGCGCGCTGCAGTCATACTCCTTGCATTGCTCACCGTTGCCGGTGTCATCTTCAGCAGGCTGGGGCTGTGCAGCAAACCATCGGATAGAGGATGTAGTGAAGGATGAAACGCGCGGCCCCAAGGCGCGCGCGACGTGCATGAACCGATGCAGCATCGCCAGATCGCTCGTTTTCACAGCTGTGAGGCGCCTTGCATGCGGTGAGCACCTGAAATTGCAAACAAATCTCATCAAAATTTGTTCACACGTCGACAGCCTGGCCCTGAGATTCGGGCTCCTGCCAGGATTGGATTGCAGCCGCAGGCACTGGCAGACCGACGGCGCCTGTGCGACTCGAGTGACAGCGACTTCCCTCTGCGCCTGTGCTTGTTTCCAGGTGACAATGAGAATAATCAGGCACCATCAATTCACTTGAGGCAGGGATACCCCACTTGCTTTCTGGACGCGGCTGCCTGCCGCACACTTGCTACCGCGCCCCCCCGGTGACGGCCGACTACGCCTCCAAGATAGTTCATGTGTCTTTGAATTGTGCAGCTGCAATGGTGTCTATATCAGAAGGCAGCATTGACACATGCCACCACGGTGAGTGCATGCGCAAGCGTGCGTGTATGTCCAGCTGTGCTCACCACAAGTCCAAATCTACGTGTACCTTACTGGCACAGGGAGCGCCTTGGATCCTGGCGACATCTGTGCGTGGCTGCGGTGTTTGCATGGTGTGCCGTTGACTCGGACGTAAGATTACACTGCATGCCTGCATGCCCTGCTGCTATTGTTGACTCCCATGCTACTCGGTGTTGGCGATGTACAGCTGCCGGATGGCGGGTGCCGCGCTTGTGGGCACCAGGACGCGGTCCAACACGTGCAAAACGTATTTGCTCTTTGCGCTGTACTGTCCCTCAAACGTGTAGTCTGCGGCGCTGACGTAATCAGTGTGGTTGGGGTCGTCGCCTTCAGGACCGTCCAGGTCCAGATATGTGGATCCCACCTCAACGTTTTCGCCATCGTTGGTGACTTTGAGAGACGCGCCTCCCGCAAGCGTCTTGATGGCTGTGCCGTCCTTTAGGCTTGTCACAGGCATCACACCCTTGACCACGTGGAAGGACAGGATCTGCAAACATGGGGCCAAGGCCGGGCGCTACCTGATATTCGAAACCAATCAAATGAACAGCCAGCGGCTGGCACACCATCAAACCTTCGCGCAATCAAAGCCTGCACGCGCTGGATCACTGCAGCTGGCGTTATGCTACGCCCAGTTCGCTCGCAGGCCCCCCCTCACCGTTCTGTACATGGCAGGGTCCTGCGAGGCACTGCTAAGCAGCTGTGCGACTGGATTGTTGCCTTCAAACCCCAGTAAGTGAGCAAACTCTTCGAAAGCATCGTTGGTTGGGCAAAACTGCGATGGCCGGGGAAGTATGGTGATTGGTTTATTGCACAGGGTGGCTGATCAATTATCAACTATCGCAGCCAGGTTGGGTCCATGTGCCATGTGATTGTTGTTATGCGTGCAGAGAGGCGCGCACATGTGCGCACATGTGTGTAAGTATGCGTGCATGTGTGTGTGTGTATGTATGTGCGCGCTTGTGCTCGTGTAATTTTGAGAGTGTGTGTATGCATGCAGGGGTGTATGTGTGTGTGTGTGTGTGTGCATGCACCTGTATGGTAGCATACTTGGTAGTCATTGGATGGTTCTGCAACGTCTTGATCAGGCGGTGGCAGGCAAATAACTTCCCGCTACCTGCTGCACATGCTGCAGCGGTTGCTCACCAGTGTGTAGCCATCAAACTTGTTCTTGAGCTCAGGCACCAATTTGGTCATGGCAGACTTGCAGGTGGACAGGTCTGACTTGGGGTCGACATCCCATGAGGCGCTGGTCAGCCCTGCAGAGACTGCATCACAGTCAGAAAAGCGCCGCAGCTCGAGCTGAGGTAAGCGCACACAAGCAAGCGTACGCAAGTGCATGCGATGCGCGCATCGCCGGGCTTCCGGCATCGACGAAGCAGCCATGCTGCTCGTTGCTGACATCCAGGCGTGCTGCACATGGAGCCTAGGCCGCGCAGGGGCAACACCCAGCAGAAGCCTGCCCGAACCTCCTCGAACGAAGGCCCTCACCCAGCACAAATATCGTCAGCAGGCAGAGGGCCTTCATTTGCACGTGATTAGGCTCAATAGATCCGTGGTCACCGGTGTCAGAATGTACACACAACCCGTTGGGCCGGAAAAACTAGCGTGGCCCCCTCACCCGACCACACACTTGCCGGCCACGGCAGTGTCTGTCTGCGGCGTTGCTCATCTGCAACGAAATGAAATTGACATCATGTCACTGGTGCATCCCTCAGGGACACTGAGAACCCCCTGCCAGCCGCAGCTACCAGCGCTGCGCTTTTGCAACTGAACATCGCATTCAACCGGCAGCCTGCATTCCCCCGCATATTGCTTGTGTTGGATTAAATCAACAGGCATGGCTTGATAATCCGATTGCTGCTTCCTCGCTTACCACCCTGCAGATGAACCTCCAAAACGGCGACATGAGACATTAGATCTGTCTGGATAGAGTCATGAAACCTACTGCTATGGGCGTGTTACTGATGTCCTCTCAGGTCAGTTGCTTCGTTCGCACAGACAAGGGGCAGCAAACCCCCTGCATTGCTCGCTGTAAAGCTTTATTCCAGCTGCCAGATGGTAACAATCTGCGCAGCTCGGATCTCACAATGAATTACAGCATACACATGGAGCATAAACATACAGAATGTTCATATCAAGGGTCGGCATGGGATAGGCCCGGGCTGCCGATGCACTGTGGGTATATATCATAGAAACTTGACACCCTCTTCCTCAGGCGTGGCCCCCTGGAACAACCTACACGTGCGCATCGATTGGAAGCCAGACGGCGGGGGCGGCGAACGTTGGGTTGATTGAATGTTTCTTGACCCCGCAGCGCTGGGATGTCGCCAAGCAACTGGCTGACGCATTCAGCCAAGAAAATGACCGCATTTTTGCACTCCGCACCTGACTTTGCCCTGAAATTCCAACGCTTTCAAGGCAGCCAGCAGCACTTCTCGGTGCAATCCGTGAAGCTCTGCATGAGCAAGTTGCCAGTACATGTGGCGTCAATTGGCAGAAATTGTGCCGCTTTGTTCGGAAGCTCGTAGAACGCAAGTGTCATTGCCAGCAGTGGTAGGTGCACTCATGCAATCATCAGCATGCATGGTGTGGCCAAGACTCCCCACAGCGCACCTGTGCCGCGCACGTCGTCCCCCGAGCTAAGGTCCTCCAGCAGCATGACAGAGTCTGACACGCCGTAGGTCTGCGCCCAACCCAGGACGACCGAAGCCCACTCCTCAACCTGGTTGTTGTGCGAACAGTGCATGGGGTAGATCTCGAGGCATGTGCACTCGGCTCAGGGCGATGGAAGCCAGGCAGCTTGCACAAACACCACCGACGATATTGTTGCCATGTTGCCAGCAATCCGTCACAAAAGATCCACTCACTTTCCGCCAGAGAATCAGGCACTGCTGCTTTTGGGGATCCAGCCACCGTGCATTGCCTGTTTTGGGATAGCAGGAGACAAGGCGTGAGTGGAGGACGTGAATATCTCTTGCAGCCCAAGAAACATGAGGACCAACTTGTGTGTGTGGGCTTGATTGCCTCATTATGGGCAAAGAGTACTGATGCAAGAGCAAACCGGTTTTGCTTCATGGCGTATCGCAACCAGTCCTGTGTCCCCCATGCTCTTGCACACCTCTGTTGACCAACTGCTCAAGCAGCGTGACGACGGCGTCTTGCGATAGCTTGCCTGCGGGCCCATGATACAGTGCAGAGCGTACTCAAACCACGGCTGCTGCTTGCACACATCATAGTGGGAACTCCCAGCTTCTAGCCCTGGACGCACGTTCACCATCACTGGCTGCATGTTCACCAACACGCCCCGCTGCTGGCACAAATTGAGGCTCACGGCTGATGTCTCTGTTGTGGAAAAGCGGGATGTCGTCCGTCGGCTGCAGCACGAACACCTGTGTTTGTGGCAATGGCATGCATATTTGCTACTTGGGTTGGCTGTGCTGCTTAGAGGTCACGTCGTGCTTCCCTGCCACGCGCTCAAGCGACCCTGTCTCACCTTATGGTGTTTGCAATACGCAAGGATGAGCGTGCACCACAGGCTGCACTGCTTTTCCAATGTCTCCTGCACCGGCTGCAGCCTGTGTTGAGGGATTATGGCGCAGCTGTGGCATCATGTTTTGCCACTGGGTGCCGCTGCTGCTGCTGCGCTGCTCCCGCTGCTCCTGCTGCTGCTGATGCTCCTGTGCAGCGCAGCACCCGAGCACGTTCCCACGCACGTGAAGTAGGGAGGATACTGGTAGAAGAATGGCCACTCCCAGGCCATCAAAGCTACACCTGGCCGCGTGAGATCGATGATACCAGATTATGATTCCGGCGGTGCAAGGCCATAACAGTCGTATACAACCAAGATTGTAGGCGCAAAGTGCATACGCGACATATGCGACCGTCCGTGTACACTCGCCAACGATGCCTGGTGACACACAGGTAGCGCAATGCGAGTGCGTGAATCCAACCGCCACTCCCAAGCAGCATGCATACCTCTTTTCATACTTGTTACTTTGGATCCCCGGTGAGACGGTGACGGCCAACTGTAACTTCGAGATGGTGAGTTCTGCTTTCTTTTTTATAGATCATGTAGAGCTCGCAAAGCTGAACCCGGCGCTGCTCATGGCTGAATCCCATCCTCCCACATGACGCAGCGGCACGTCCCACCCACACTCCATGCTGGTGTGGGCACAAAAAAGAGTGGTTTGAAAGTCCAGCTTTCATGCATCTCAAAGGCAATGTGCCGGAAGTCATGCCCCTAGAGGACCGGCCAGCACCTGCCTGCTTCAAAGATTTTGAAGCTTGTTTTGACGCTCAAGCTGGTGACAGGGCGCTGCAAACACACCGTGCACATGACCTACTGCAGAGGGCAGATGTCTTGTTCCAGCATCCACACACAGATGACAGGTGATTCGCAACGCCTGCTTACACAACTCTGCCTCACCACAACCTTGGCTGCACGCTCGCCCTTATGCTTGCGCACCATATCACTGAAGGTTACCACCTTCCACAATCTACGACCACATCCGTCAAGGCTGGCGTGTACGCCAGCTATGTGTTCTGCTCAAAGACAACATGCCTCAACCCTTTATCACGGGTGCTGCAGCAATGGGTTCACTGGTGACATCGTATCAGAGGTTGTACAAATACACATGCATCATTGGCCCCACGTAAGGCACGGCAGGCGAATCAGCGAAGAGGGCAAGTAGTTTCTCAGCTCATCAATGACGCTTAAGCCTTGCACGTACCCAACACGCGCCAGTGCGCAATGTGGTGGCGCGGCGGCGCCCCTAGCTTCAGGCCGGGCGCGCATGCGCAACTTTCATCCCTCATTGGCGGTTGCAACACACTGCTAAAGCCTGCTGCTGCACGTTTCATCGTTACAGTACACGTCGTGCTGCTCCTTGTGACAAAAGGGTGTACATCTGAGCAGCGGTTTCTGGCAGTTGCAGACGTTCCGCCTTGTCCCCAAAACCCTAAACCCTGAGCGCTTTCTCGCTTTGGCACCTTCCAGCTCGACCAGGTGTGCCATGACCACCGCGTGCACCTAACCTTCTTCCACCAGTCACGCGTCGTTAGCAGCACCATCAAGGGAACCAGCAAGTCGTTGACGTTTGTATGATGAACGGTGACTCGTGCTGATGTGGCTGGCTGGTGCCCAACTTTGGACACACCAGGGTTTAGGGTTTAGGGTTTAGGTGCAAACCCCCATATGATTGGGCAGCGGTTGCTGGCAGTTGCAGACGTTCCGCCTTGTCCCCTAAACCTAAACCCTGAGCGCTTGGCACTTTCTCGCTTTGGCACCTTCCAGCTCG